TTTGATGGGTTTTCAACTGATTTGTGCTGCTTTACTCAACCTGTTATGGAGTATGATTGGGGAGGAGGAATCAGCAATAAGCACGAAGAACATCAAGAAGGAGAACAACTGTAACTCCTAGTTGCCCGATGACACTGAAATGACAAAATACAAAGGAGGCTGTCGAGGCAAACTAAATCGTGGATTTTACGAGTGATGACCTTTATGTGCCATTCTTATTGATATGAACTGAACTCAAAGAACTACATATTCAATGTCGACAACTCATCTTAGACTTTTTGATCTTTGTTGCGCAGGACATGAGGTTACCATGATGAGTGATAGTAAGTCTTGTAAGTTATAGATATCTTCATCGTTTATCCACCTTCCATTTCTATTTTCACGTTTTGTATTCAAATTATTGGAAATCACAGAACAAGTTAGTTTTGAACATGCATCCCAACCATGATAATATGTAATAGAAATTGCAATTAGAAGTCTAATTACGATTTTATTGACTAGAAATCAAGTAATATAGTTAAAAAGCTCAGACGGATAGCATCAGGTTTTGACCAAGGTGGATAGGATGGGACTATATCCAAGGCTGGCTCGGCGCGGTGAAATTAGGTGAGGTTTAATTTGGTTTAAGTGTTTAACCCGATGATTCTGAGATCACATACATGAGGTTTAATGAGGTGGGTTCTACGACGGCGATATTGTTATATTGCCGGCTGTATCCTTCAATTTTCCGCCTCGCTAGATAGGATCTAGCGCGGATCCTGGTTGGTCACTCTCAATGTCGGCGAGTTGAGTCGAAATTGGAGTACTCGACCGTCGAGTTTCTGGTGCTGGATTCTGCAGCTGCAACTCTCCTTTCTGTTGATTTGATGCGCAATGCAATCCTACGCAATCGAGTTTTTGATGTTGGCTGCAAGCCTGTTGTGGAATCCGCAATTGCAGCTCTCCCTTCTGTCGATCATGTGTGCGACGCAATCCAACGCAATCGAGTTTCTGGTGCTGGCTGCATACCTGCTGCCGAATCCATAGCTGCAGCTCTTCCTTCTATCGATCAAGTGCGCAACGCAATCCATCGCCGCATGCGTTGAATTTAATCGCTCAATTGCCAAATTTGCCAAATTTGGATGTGCATGTCAACTCGACTCGCCACCGGCCCATAAACCAAGAGTGACTTCGTAGTCTTTGTTTTCACAGAATCTTTGATTGACAACAATGCAATTGATGCTGCTATGGAACTCGTTACTGTAGAATTGCTTGAAATGGAGGAGTGCAAACGCGGTCGATCTACGAGCATTGTATGAATCTTATTCATGAATCATGCCAATCCACAGAATGCCAAGAGTGTTAGATGCAAGCACTGTGGCAACCTTGTGAATCATCACAAGAAGAACAAAGCCGCCAAGAAGCACCTCAACAAGTGTTGGAAGTTCTGCACGTTCATGAATGGACTGGAAGATGCAGATCGTCCTTACTGGTTTGTCCGCACAAAAAACCAATCTATGCGTGCAGATTTGCCAAATATGATCCAAGCCGTCAGCAGCAGCGTTCAAAGATCAATGAAATTTTATGTGCTCTGAATGTCTCTTACTCTAAGAAACAAGAATTTCAGAAGAAGATGGCAATGCACTATTTTGCATCTGGCACCTCTTTCCAGAGTATCGGAGAAATCCATTTAGTGGAAGTGGTGAAAATACTTCGCCCCGATAAGGATTTGCTGCCGACTCGAAACCAGCTCGCGACCTTCCTTCCCAACAAGTGCCACGACAATCTGAAGGCGAAGATCGACACTCACATGAAGGGTTCTTTAACATGTCTCATCACCGACGGATGGTCCAACATAAAAAACGATGCAGTGATTAAGTATATGGCTGACTCTCCCGTGGCAATGCTCACGGGCCAGCAAGGACACGACCACGAGTTCATTGCTAGCGATGTTGAACGCGTGTTCAAGACGTATGAGAGCACGACGTTTGTAGACGAGGTGACGGACAACACAAGCGCGGACAATAAGGCTTGGTTAGTGATAAGCGCCAAATTTCCATCCCGCTTCCTTCAAGGCTACACATCACACGGACTGCACCTGTATGTGAATGACATCCTCTATGCGACAAAGACCAAAAAAGCGGGCAACAACACATCGACGTATCTGATTGACTATTCGTTCGAGGAGGTACTGCTTTTCATCAACAAGTGCAAAGATATCGTGAAGTTCTTTCACAATCAGAATGTGGTCAAGGTGCAGCTCAAAGAGATGCAAAAAGCTGCGGGTGTTCGAAGCCTTGTTTATCCATATCCCACACGCTAGGGCACCATTAAACAGACGTGCAAGACCCTACACACATCAGAACATCATATACACGCAATCGCCTAAGTCCTACATGCTCGATCCATGGTTCATTGCGGAGGGAATGATGAGGCAGAATCGTGAAGCACTGGAAGACATCCAGTTCCGATTTTCCGCTAATGATGAGCCGCTCGAGTCTATCGACTAAGCGCGAACGCAAATCATCTTCAAGCAGTATACAGAGTTCGTCATTGTCGCAACCAAAGCAAAGCAAGAGGAATCTACGCGGTACAGAATCCTACTTAAAGGTCAGAAGAGCGTTTTGCAGTATTGGTTGGTTGATGGCAAATATTGATCCAAGCTGCAAAGTGTGGCCATCAAGCTCTTCAACATGGCGACTTCAAGTGCCACTTTGGAACGCAATTGGTCCACTATGGGGTTTATTCACTCTAAATTAAGAAATTCACTACACCCAGACATGTAGACAAGTTAACTTACATAAAAAGTAATCTGTACTCATTTTATGCGCATGAAAACTTATGTGATTACGAGGTAGAGGATGAAACAGATGATTCACAATGAATAGAGAGCCTCAATGAAAGTGACAAACGATGTAAGTGATTTACAGTGAATAGAGAGTTGCAATGAAAGTGACAAGTAGAAGTCTCTATTATAGAATTCCACGTGTCACTTTTTCTCGATGAAGTTATTTCATGGGAGGTCCACGTGTCAATGATCAAATCTTCCCAAAATTGGGTTTTAGTGCATTAAATCATCAACCAGATGGATTTTATGAAAATTTAATGATTTTATCTACCCCTGGCTATATCCCAATAGCATCAAACTTGGTTTAATTTCTTAGTTCACCTAAAGATGAAACAACTACTTAAGTCAAGTACTTCGTTCTAAACTTGCATGAATTTCCTCATAGTCATCTCTTTATATGGATTTCTTTCTATCGATGGTACCTTACTTGGGTGCACATAATTTCATAACCAGCCAACAGGAACCCATCGAAGGAAAATAGAGTCGCTTCCTCTACAACTTTTTACTATCCAATCAATTCGTTATCTTCAATCGTTTTCTCATGTATATAATTGAATCGAATATGGAACAGGCTTCGGAAACATTATTATGTAATTTTCGAAAGCTTATAGTTACAAGCTTCCTCCAAGGACTGAATATCTAGGATATGAGATAGATCAGATTGAAGGTGCGCAACTGACGTCGCAAAGTGTTTAAAGCAATTGGAAACATCCCCATCAATTTGTATAGAGATTGGATCATATGGGGTTGGACGAGGCTTGATTTAAATAACTTCACAAGAATAATTATCTCATTGTAAGTAAGTCTCTAGGTATGTCTTATGTGTATATCTCATTTTAAAGAGATATACACATAATGCCTAAAATAGACTACATGATAAGCATATAATATATATGATAGGATTCTGTGCTATTTTAAAAAAAATATGTGGAAAAGGGTAATCTAATTCTGTATAATCTTAAATCTAGGAAAAAAAATATGATTTCTATGATTTCTCATTCCTGAGAACTCTTAAGTACAATCGTTATATTTTTCCAACTATGAATAGTCATGAGTATTCATTGTTTCCGAGAAATGACATGAGTAGTATACTCTGATATTTTGATTTCATGTTTACGTATACTATAATATAATCTCTTGCCTGCATGTTATTGTAGATAATGATCTTACGTAGGTCTCATCATGCTATAGCATACAATAATTTCTTTTGACATTATAAATAACTAAGAGTGTGATCATGTGATCGTTATAAATGATAATTTAATATAGAAATCCATGTTACTTTTAAATGATAAACCTGTTCGCATGGTTATTATTTGAATAAAGATGTATATAGGTGTCTTAATCCTAAACTTAATCTCATTGTTGTTAACATATTATAAAAATATGAATATCAAGAATGTTGATAGATGGATCAAGCAAAAATGAAACTTTACTGAAAAAGATACTTATCGAGAGTACAATATAGTTGAGACAAGATTCATGACTTTATTCATGTAATTGATGGAGAAAAAATGTAGAGGAGAATGAAAGTATGGAGAGTAGATTCTATTCGAAATATTTGAATTTTGTACTATTATTATAATTTATAGTTCACCTCTCTATAAGATTCTATGGATATTAAAGCTATAACCATACAAAAAAAGGAGTGATTCATGATACTCCATCATCTATACTGAACCAAAATGCAAACCACAATCCTCTAAGATCTCACGATCATTACAGAATGCAAACAATCAAAGTTTTTTAATCTGAAACTCACAATTCAAATCTCCAGATTATTTCAACCAGAGCATGAAAATGAAGAGATTGGAATAGAGGGAATCTGTTCCACATGGAAATTTTGGGAAAAAAAGACAGTTGAGTTCAATAATCATAACTTTACAAGTGCGTTTCTACTTTTCAGAATGGGTAAATTTGGATACCATTAGAAGATTCAAAAAGTTGAATAAAAAAACCGAATAGTCCATTGACTTTCAACAAAGGTTAGCGTCACGATGTGCAGAAACTTAGCACGCTTTAGTGACGTACAATCGTCTTTCCCCTGCCAAGCCCATGACCCGAATTCCGTATCCATAGGTTTGCTGGAGGACTCAGACCTGGAAAGAGCAGGTCACATCAGGCCCGCCTCTCTATATTCTGGAAAGTGTCCCTTCGTCCCTATGGAAAAAGGTTTCGTGTTTACCTGAACGGACCACTCATTCCTCGGTGTGCTTTGCTTTTCAGGTCGTCAGTTACTACCTGCTTCGTCTTTCCCGGCTATAGGCTCGGGGTGGCTGTGATACCTGCCAATTCATGCACTTCCTCTATCGACGATCGACAGCATCTTCAACACGAGGAAGGCAGATAGAAGGCCCAATGATTCGCCGTCATCGACACGGTCGAAAACACAGGTGATGTTTACGGGAGGGCATAATTCTTCTGTTCATGTCGTTTTTGTTTTATTGGGTTCTTGTGGCTTGTCAAGCTCAATTCGGGGGTATCCTTTTGCACACGGATGTCGTCCATATCACAACAGCACCAGGCGAGAAGTTTCGAGATCTTCTTGTCACGCGTCGCGCATAAATTAAAACAACTTTTTCGAAGGATCGGAGGACGTTTCCATTGTCAACCGGAGATGCTAGCCACTGCCTTGACCATCATTATCTGTCTAAAGTCTAGAAACGGTCAACGCGTTTGACGTATGCTCTATATTGAGAGGATTTCTCTGGCAGCAGTTCTTTTGTTGTATACGTCGTCCATTGAGTATGGTTCACTCAACTTCCATTCATCTGCGATAGTACGGCATTCCATGAAACAAGTAAAACTGCTTAGAGTTTTGTAACAAGGATGTGTCTTTCAGAAAATCCTCAAGTCTGAAAAGCTGGAGGATGATGAACTCACAAGCAATGCTCGTTACATTGTATGACCATAACGGCTTGATCGATGTGGGTTTACTTTCTCCGCAGCGTTCAACGTTCGGTTCGTGAATGTGACTGCCAGCTGACCTTTTTCCCTCATATACAAAATGTCTCGACCATCTTTTGAAGGTGCTTCTTGTTATTGAATATAGTAAAGAGACAGTTGTCTCATATTAGTTTGAGGGACATTCGTTAGCTTGTGACGAAGAGAAATGGAGATCCTAGTGAAAGTATGAAATGTTGAGGTCTTCTTTGTCATGGATGATGATAACTTCCAGGTTCTGAAAGTGGTAGTTAAGAGTCTGTCGATTGTATCCAGAACAGTCACTCTTTGACTCCAAGAAATTTGATCAATAAGAAAACTGATATTGGAGTTTAAGCAATATAGTAAAATTTATAAGATCATATCAAACCAACTATTGACTTGGACTGGACTCAATAAAGTTTTACGTAGACATGTAATACATCTGTATCTGCATTAGTGCATATGTATGGATGAGAAACTAAAATAATAACATGGACTAGATTCAATAGTATCTAACAGTAGTATATGTATTAATGCATCTTTATGAATGTCAAACCAATAACATGGACTAGATTCAACAGTATCCTATAGTAGTTTATGTATAACTGCATCTTATAAATATAGAGCACGAGTGAACAAATATTGTCAAATAATTTGGATATGTTTTTATTGCGGAAGTTGTCCCTAATTTGATGCGGAATTGGATCAGAGCACTTCAATGAAATTTGGGGCGAACAGGACGAGAAGAGACGGAAATCAACAATCTTGCAGTGCAAAGCCCAGTCCACGGGCACATGCAGCAGCAGGAACATCAGCAGAAAACATAACTCCCAAAAGTCGGGCATGCGTATCTTCTCAACAGTTTTGCCGTCAAGTCAAAAAAGTGATTGATACTCCTCCTGGGGCGACACACATCTAAATTACGGATTCTGTGAGATATGAGGAGACAAAAAGAGGAGTGATTTGAAGAGAGAAGATCTAGATAGAAAAAGAGAGTGAAATTCTACAGCTTGCATTGACTAGGTCTGGAAATTTTTTGCTTTTTACTGGCCTGCAATCTAGCGTGTTGGGCCTGCGTTGAAAAATATGCGAACACGTGTTGTGGACAATTTTATCGAATCCACGTCTGACAGGTGTTTCTCCTTCCGTGTTCAGGTTGAAAATAGCCACACAACTTTACAGTTACCGAACAGTGGACGAGGACGAAGCAGGGGCATTGCGGTCCGTCTTCCTCTTCACAGTAGCGTTGCTGCACTACAGTATACTATTTCGCGATTCATGGCTGTATTCTGTCTGTCTACCACAGTAACCGGTCTTGCTGTTTACACGTGCAATTGGAACTCCTGCAGCCCTTATAGCCTCCATCGATCATATATGAGGCTACTTGTTTCTTCTGTACCGAGGTTGTATATCAGGAGGTCGAATATTTGTAGGATGGTACATACTATGACTCTACATCATTCAGAGTTGGGGATAAAAAAAGGTTTAAACACATACGCTACAATCACAAACATCACAAAGACAGGTTGTACCTCAGTAGGCTATATTTGGCATTGTGATACAAAAGGGGCTATTTGCATCTAGCCCATTTGGTTTAATCCATGTATTGATTCATGTGTTCATGCCATCCCTTTTTTGAATTCTATTTTGCTCTCCGAAGATGTGTGTCGAACTGGTTTTACCCCAAATTAGTGTTCCACAATCTTATGATGTCACATACCTTTTTTTCCCCAGTAATTGAACTAATATGCCGGATGTTTTTCTTCTATATGCTAATGAACATATTTATGCATTTACGATATCCAAAATTTTTACTTTTGCGCAAGTAGAAACACAAACATCAAAGGGTCTCTCGTCCTTTATGATCTGATCTGTGGATAGCATTCGCGACGCTTACTTCGTCGTTAAGTTCAACTTAACTTCGCTTTAAATATGTCTTTGACATCAATATGTCTTTTCACATCATAAATGAGAGATTTGCATATATACTAGGGTTTCGTTGGAGTGAAATGAACAGCACCCATCATACATGGGCCAGATTTGGACCTTTTACATGCAAGGTAGGACACAAGGAAGATCTTAATCAATTTATCACTTTATCCCCCTCTTCAAATCGACTCCATTTGACCAGAAGTCACGAAGTTGAGCGTCATAGAGCTCACATCATTGTCCAGACTGTGAGAATGGTGCACAATTTTTACCCGTCTTACTGTCGATTTTAATTGATTTCTTTCAATGTTAAATTATCATCTTCAGTTTTATTCATCGAAGATTCTCAGGAGAATATTGATTGTGAAGACATCTTGCTTTTCTTTTTCCGGCTTTGACATTATTGTTCTTTTGTTTTGTCGAATCGTTTGTATTCCATGGTGTTCGACTCCATCCGTTCCTCGTGACTTTTACATCTTCCTATTCGGAGCAAATCACGATCTTACTCCTGGTAAGACATCTTCAGTTGCCTGGGCTACCGCTGCGATTGAAATTCTCGATGGTTGGTGCTGTCACTTTAAATGCTTCAGTGCATTACTCCATTTCGTTTATAATATATTGTGTACTTTTGTTGCGTGTTACTTCCCGGGCTAGTCGTTCCTGTGAGCACATGAGACTGGAATCTTGATGACAAACGAAAAACAACAAGTGAAGACCACATTTTGACCGCATGTTTTGTGGGCCACGGATAATAAATTGTAGGCGTGTATTCAGCATGGTCGCTTCAACCCTTTGTTGCAAAGGCTTTGCAACAAAACATACTAATCCAAGTTTGGCACAGGTACAACTTAAAAATGACATCATGGGTCCGATAATCCATGTTGGCAATTTATTTCTCAAGAGCCGACCAATCAGATGCCTCTCTGGATGCATGATGTCCCAACCTCTAAATCTGCTCATCCTGGTATCATGGGAGTATGTCACTGCATGTCAGCAGAAAATCTGAGAGTCTCAAGAACAAGCAAACGAGTCCCGCCATACAATACAAGTGAGCAAGTCCCTATAAGCTCAACAGAGCTCGGTGGAAGTGGCTGCCACCGCTAATCAACAAACCCAAACCCTCTTCCAGTCTAGAACTGTAACACCTTACGTTTCCTTGCTGTTGAAGTATACTTGGAGGCAGACAGAGGTTGAGATCAGAATCGGGATCCAATTTCAACATGTCAAGTCAAGTTGGGAAGACTACAAGACTCGGAACGGAAGCTGCTGACAGGTAAGAGGCACCTGCTTTGGATTCACTCACTCGATTAAGACCTTATAAGTTGGCACGTCCACGACTCACCCTCGCCTTCGCTGACATTGTTGTGGAGTCTCCCTTCCTGTCCCTTGTAGTGAAGATTATGTTTCTTCTACCTGCAGGTGCTGCATCCACATCGAACCTAGAAATCTAGATTCCATCCCATCCCATCCCTCCCAGTTTCATCGCAAGGCCACTCAATGTCATTTGGTGTTTCATAACAGAAGCATCCCGCTTTCGCTGCCCTTTTATCAGAGAAACGCCGCAGTTACGAATCCTTTGATTGTGATGGTCTAATTGTTCTCGTGACCACTACGTCTTTCGCACCTTTACGCACAAGTAGGCCTTCCTGCAACTGCAGGCATGAGACGAGCAGAATTTCGGGTTCAAATCGTGACTTTGATTCTTGATGTACAGAAAGTGGTGTGTTGACTCCCGGTGGCCGCTGGAGCCGTTGAATTCGATGCTGGTCTCAAGAGATGTTGGCGACTATGGTGAGGTCATTCCGCTGGATGAAGCTCGGCTTCAGTTGGTAAAATACCGGGGGTTCGCGTTGTGAAGATAGAGTAGGCCATGTGCGAAATCGCAGGGGGCCCACTGCGAGTTCGGGACATAATTATGTCTCGAGGGGCTCGTTTGATGGATTTTCATTCCTTGTTGATACTGTCTGGGACCATTTTGACTTGTTTGGTCGTTGATTCACAAGTTCATGGATTGTCTCCCGATGGAATGGCATTGCTGGAAATCAAGAGCACCTTGGTTGATGAAACGGGAATTCTGAGCAGTTGGATCGCCACAGACGAGACACCTTGCGGTTGGTATGGGGTGGCATGCCTTCCTGACGGCCGTTCCGTCCGTTACCTCAACCTCAGTGCGCATTATGACGATCTATCAGGAACACTTTCTCCGAGCATTGGCAAGCTGGCCAGTCTGCAGGACCTCGATATGTCTTACAACAATTTCAGTGGCCCTCTCCCCAGTGAAGTCGGCAATTGTTCGGAGCTGCGCTATATTGACTTCGGCCACAATCAACTCATCTCAGGAACCATTCCCCCGGAATTTGGGAAGCTTTCGAAATTGCTGTATCTAAGTCTCCCCCAGTTGCAGCTCACAGGACCTATACCAGAAGAAATTGGCAGCCTGACCAGGCTGCAAAACCTGTATCTGCACTCGAACAACCTCACAGGACCTATCCCCTCAACTTTCGGAGCTCTGCAAAGCCTCAGTGTCATGTGGTTGTGGAACAATTCTATCTCAGGGGTTATACCTCCTTCAATGGGCAGCTGCAAAAATCTGTCCGTCTTGGACTTGAAAGATTTGAAGCTAGAAGGATCAATTCCTACAACATTTGGGCATCTGGAGAAGTTGGAGTACATTGACCTCACCAATAATCTCCTCACAGGTCCAATTCCGCCGGATCTGGGAAACTGCACGAGCCTCACTAGCATTTACTTCGGGTATAATATGTTGAATGGCAGCATACCCGGGGAGCTGGGAAAACTTACGAACGTGATCACGATGTACTTGATGGGCAACCAGCTCAGTGGGGAAATTCCACCGACTCTGGGAAACATGTCCAGTCTCTCAGATGTGAGTTTCTTAAAAAATCAGCTTCGAGGGGAAATACCAGCGGCATTTGGATCCTTGACAAACCTTGCCTACCTGGAATTGGACCAAAATAGTCTGACTGGAAGCATCCCTGTCGAACTATTCGACTGCACAAATTTGATCTTGCTTTCCCTTAGAGTTAACGATCTGTATGGGACTCTTCCTCCTCAAGTTGGAAAGTTGCAGATGTTGTCCGATCTCCTGATAGGGACTAACAATCTCACAGGCTCCATTCCTTCCACGATTGGTAACTGCTCATCACTGCAGACACTAAGCGTTTTCGACAACTGGCTAGTCGGCAGCATCCCACCGGAGCTGGCTAGCCTTCCTCAGCTGATGGAACTGCGATTATTTGGAAACTTTCTCACAGGACCCATTCCAGCCGAGCTTGGGCTTCACAGCAATCTGACACTGTTAGATGTTCACGACAACGAGCTGAATGGCAGCATTCCAGCAGGACTCTGCAATTCTGGCGGCCTAAAGCTCCTGGTACTGTACAACAATCATCTCGAGGGTGAAATCCCCACCGAGCTGGCCATGTGCAGAAGCCTTCAGCGCCTGCGCATGGACAACAATCATATCACGGGGTCCATACCCGGACAATTTGGGCAGAACACAGCACTCTATCGCCTCCAGGCAGACTCCAACGACTTGACTGGCAGCATACCTTCAGAGCTTGGGTCGTGTACAAATCTTACTGCTCTCCTCCTTTCCAACAACAGACTCAACGGGACCATTCCCTCCAGTCTGGGCCTTCTTCCTCTCCTGTACAGTCTGAATCTGTCCTCAAATCAGTTGACTGGCTTCATACCAGCCGAGATCGGCAAACTTACGAATCTGTCAGAGCTGGATCTCGGCTCGAACCAGCTGAGTGGAGTAGTTCCGCAGGCGTTGTCCAATCTTTCGGCTCTGACCTCTCTGAACTTGAATGACAACCAGCTGACAGGGCTCGCTGACTCGTGGAGTTCTTTCGAGAATCTCCAGTCGCTTCAGCTGGCAGGGAACAGGTTCACAGGGCCAATCCCCGCCAACATCGGCCAGCTTACTTCTCTGCAGATACTTCTAGACCTGAGCAGAAATAAATTTTCCGGCCAGATTCCTCCCCAGCTGAGCAACTTGATGCAACTGCAAAGCATGGACCTCTCGCAGAACAACTTATCGGGAGAAATTCCAGCGATTTTGGACAAGATGGAGTCTCTGCTTGCTGTTAATATCTCGTACAACAATCTGGTCGGTCCTCTGCCACCCTCTTGGTCCAAGATCATGACCTCAGAATCAGTTCTGGGCAACCCGAGGTTGTGCTCCATCGTCCAAGGTTGCGCTCCGGGTCCACAATCACAGAGTCCGAGTGACGGTGATAGAAGCTGGTTCTCCCAGCCGGCGTTTGTTGCTTCGGTAGCATCGGCTTCCGTCCTGGCTCTGGCTCTGATAATTATTGGGATCGTCGCATGCCGTCGACGAGGGAGGACATATGAGGACAGCGATCAGTCGGTTGGGAAATTGGAAATCTGGTCCAGAGATTTCAGGTACAAGGACTTGACCTTTCGAGAAATACAGGAGGCAACTGTGGGCATGGAAAATGCGCACATTGTGAGCAAAGGCAGCGCCAGCACGGTGTACAAGGCTCTCTTGAAATCAGGCCTGGTGTTGGCGATAAAAGTGCTCGATGAAGAACTGGATGGTGGCTTGGAGAGAGCGTACAAGATGGAGATCGAGACAATTGGTAAGGTCAAGCATCGCAGTCTCGTGAAGCTGATTGGGTTCTGCAAATGGAAGAAGCTCAAGTTCGTCATACTCGAGTTCTACTACAACGGTAGCTTGCATGACGTGCTTCACAAAAACAATGGCAAGGGGCTGCAAGATTGGGACTCCAGATTTAAGGTAGCTCTGGGCATAGCTCAAGGACTGGAGTATCTGCACCACGACTGCAATCCCCCCATCCTACATCGTGACATCAAGTCTTCGAACATCTTACTGGATGATGAGTTCGAGGCTCACATCGCAGACTTCGGTGCTGCCAAACTTCGAGACCTTTCCAAGCCCAATGCCTATGCATCTACCTTCGTAGGTACATACGGATATATTGCGCCAGGTGAATAATAATCATAACTACCAGCCCCCTCGTTCGCATGCATGTCAGATAACTGAAACCCGCTTGGTTGTGAGATTATTGCCCAGTCCGCTGACAGAACTGTCTAGATTTTGGGAAGGTAGCCGCACCTCAATCAGTCAAGAATGCTCATGCTCCAGCTGTGTTTGTGATCTGATTGACGTGAGAGTATTGTCAGTCACCTAATTCACTCGCTATGGTCGTTCTCCTATTGCAGAGTATGGGCTGCACCTGCAGCTGAGTGAAAAAGTGGATGTCTACGGATTTGGAGTTGTGCTGCTAGAGCTGCTTACCGGAAAGGATCCACTAGACTCCTCATTCCCAGATGGAACGACTATAGTGACCTGGGTGACGAGCTATAGCAGTGAGGAGAAAATTCTAAGCGAGGTGCTGTGTAAGCAGCTGCTCGATTTCGGAAATTGTCTTGTGGTGAGAGAGATGATTTTAGTTTTAAAAATAGCAATATTTTGTGTCAATCAGTTGCCCAAAGAAAGACCGACGATGAGAGAAGTAGTGTCTATGCTGAAACAAGCTAGGGAGCCACGGGAAAAATCTTTGACTGAGAAGGTCCATGCTGAGGAGAAAGGTGCTTCTTCAAGCCAAGAAGCAATTGAGATCGAGACTTCCGATGAGACCATCAATTATTGATTTTGAATCCATAACCTCGTTAGGAATTTATCGCTGCGCCATGGAATCTTGTTCAAAATTTGTATTATAATGTCATCACCATGCCAGTTCCAACAGTACATAATCTCGTCCATTTCATCTCAAGGATCCTTTGATAACGTCACAAGATCAACTGAATTCGTTATCTTAGTTGCAACTTGACAAAACACTGCAAATTTTGTGTACTGTAGTTGTAGATAGGACTAGTCACTCCACTCCTTGATTGTTCTCTACTGTACAGCCTTTTGCAAGGGCGTTCCCTTGGTTTCTGTCATTCGTCACTCTGTAGCAACGTGTCTCTGCATCGAAAAAAGAATTACATCATTGGAGTAAAGGTGAATCTCACTTGTGCACAAAGAATCAACTTGAATTGATAGAATGATTATTCATACATTTTCTCTTCGCTTTTAACGAGAAGACCTACTGTGCTTCTGTCTCTCTGAAAATCCCATGATCCACTATCATGGGATTTCCAGAAAGTTCTGTCATAGCCTGACCATGTGCGTATGAAAAAAAACTGTGTACTCAATGTCTGGACTCCGATATCACCTAGTAGATGACACTAGTACTTTACTTTGCAATTTTAAAACTGCGAGTTGAGCAAACAAAAGGTGTGTCAAGTGGTTCGTGATACCCACTATCATTCATTCTGACACAGTATTCTTCTTAATGGAAGAAGCAGCCCTCTTCATATGCCGCACTTTTAATGCAGATAGTTCCTACTGGAACATCTTCAAGTGAGTTGCAACTGCGTCATGCACAACTGCAAAGACCCAACATGTACTTTACATGGTCAGACATCTGAGTCCAAGGAAGGAATGAGTATTACACATGCATAATGGGGCTGGAAGGAATAGTACTTCCGGTCACGCTTGACCCTACCAGTCACTACATCACTGTAGTCCTACTGCTGGTTGAGCAGGAAAAGAGTGAATCAAGAGTTGTGGTTTGTGACTCAAACCTTCATAAAACACTTATGAGTCGGTATTTCTGAGTCACAAAGATTCCGGCATTCTTGAGGAATCACTTGTAGATCTCTACTGCTCCACCTTCGTGTTATCTGCAGATGCGCCACTCTCACTTAAGCAGAAGGAGGTTTGAACATCTGTCAAGATGTTCAAATAAGTTAACAAAAATGACTTATTGAATAGAGACCAGCAATTTTGAAAGAGATTCGCAATTTCTCCATTTGCAAGAGACCAGCAACGATTTTATAAGGATATTACTTTTTCAGCATCCTAAAATGGACGTAGTCTTGAAAGGATGACCGATTAATGACTTCTTGACTTGCACTGTTGCGTTATGGAAATGCTTAGTGGCATCTCTTTGACCATGCAAAGTCTTGAGAGAAAACTGAAACTTGAAATGGATATCATGCTGAATACAATCTGAAAATAACGTAATCGTCAGAACTCAAGCATATATGATTTCTGCAACCATAGATTTCACTTTTATCAGAATGAAGATCTAAGGGTGGCAAGTCTCTGTACCTGTTGCTTGTGGCCTCAAGCTTCTTGGAGAACCTTGATCATTTCTCAAGGTTCACTAACTTGAAACCGTGACCCATGTGGAATGATGCATATGCGTGATATTGGCAGATGTCCTTTGTGATGAATAAGAACATTCGCAAATCTCTGCATCTGCAACCACAAAACTTCATGGTCAGATCTTTTTCTCACATACACTTTGAGTCTTCTCAGTTTTAATGGACGCTCACTACCTTCCTGAAACAAACATGTATGTGAGTCAGAGGTTTTTTTAATGTACGCTCACTATCTTCCTTATAATGTGTAGTCGTTGATGAGGGGAAGAAAACTTGCCAGGTACGTGTTCAACCATCAGTCAGAAGGGCTGTGGCGTTCATCACGTCGTCTTCCGGCCTCACTAGCTTCATTACTTTGTGAAGTATGATGATCGTCTCAGTTGCAACCACTAATGTGTGGCATTGTGAGATTTTGTGGAAGGAGAAAGGTACAGTTTCCGACGTACAAAGTTGTCAGTGTTATCGTAACCCCTGGAAGCATATTCGGACTGTAGTTTTTGCACAGAATTTGGGTTGTAGTTGTAATCAACAAGAGGCGATAGGGAGAGGCCTTTCGAATCTACTCCAAGTAACGGCTCGAAAGTCATCTTCCACTCAGGAGATGCATACTGTTGGCTTGGATTCGGACCGCTGCTTCCACTGGTCCTTCTTGACAAACCTGGTGTTCCTCCATCCAGAGGTGTATGCGTGTTTCCACGTTGGGCGTCTACACCTGGCCAGTCATTCTGAGGTGGTGAACTTTGAAACTTGTCTTGTAGATTAGTGCCCTTGATAGGAGTATTGAAGCTCGATCCATTGCGTGATGCAGCTTGTAGCATGCTTATGGTCTCTAATTGTTGTTGCATATCTTCCTCCCACTCGGCTCTCAAGCTCTGTTGCTCTTCCATTCTGCAGAGGAGCTGTACTTTATCCACAATAACCCCCTCTGTCTCTGGATACTCTAACTCATAGGCTTTCCTCAAGTGACTGGCTAGACCATCTTCTATCTGCTCCATCAAACTTAGCCTGCTTGATAGAGCATTAAGGGCTTGTTGAACCTGGGAGGTGAACGGAGATGAAGGTGGAAACCCAAGCAAAGCATTCTCCGTACGTTGTAGCCGGCTCCTGCTCGCTTGCCTCGCATTTATTAGACTAGTCATAACGTTCTCGAGTCTGTTTTTACTAGGAGCGTTTTCTTCGTGCATATGCACGACACCACTCACCGCACTGTTTCCTGTGGCAGTCTGGTGGACATTAACACCTGGGCTAGAGCCCGGTGATGACAATAACATCGATCCCCTAAAAGCTTCATCCCAGCTTGAACTTGTTACATTGGTGCAGTGTTGATCCATTCTTTCAGGAGGGCTAGGGGTGAAGACCACTCTACTTGATGTCTCGCTGTTCGTTCCCAAAGTTTGGCTCTCTACAGTTTCTCTATACGATGGAATACTCAGGTCCTGGGATATCTCTGGCCGCCCGTCTCCATTTTGTTCATCCCGATGTTGAGTGTAGCCGTGACTATCGGTCATATTGTTCTGCTCTTTCCACTTGTTGATTCCAGACCACATTGCACTTTCGCCTTTCCTCTGTACTTCTGCAGTTACTGCTTGCTGGAATGCAGTTTGGGACTGTTCGTGCTTTCCTCTTTCGAGGACATCATGGAGCAACTTCATTCTAGCTTTCTCTTCATTTAGACTCTGCTTTTCTCTGTGCAGAGCTTCTGTAGTCTTCCTAAATTCTTTCTCTCTTTGACAAAAATCAGCTTCTGCTTGCTTTTCGCTTTGCATGAAATTGGTCTCGACAGCTTTGAGCCGTTCATTCTCTATCCTAGCAGCCTTCTGAAGAACATCCATTGCCTGACTCTTCTCCTGAAGCAGAGCATTTCTCATATTTTCCAGTCGTTTCGTCTCTTGTAAAAGCTTAGATTCTTTGGTTGCCATCGAAGCTTTCGCTTCTTTTTGAGCTTTTTCTAATCTTCTCCGTTCTTCCTCTAGAGCTTCTCTCTCCCTGTTACAGTCGACGCAGTAAGAATAATGCTATCGATGGAATTCACGAGCAGGGAAAACCTGGACACCGTGTCTACTATCAAATATGAAGATTACTCAAAGAAAAGCATCTGCTCCTAGACATATATTCACAACTTCTTCCAAACAAAACGTGGCACCTGGAAGCATTTTGGGCGGTTAGAGATGCATCTGCCACCATCTGCTTTGTTGCCTTCAGCTGTGCTGTCAACGTGACCTTAACATCTTGTACGGCCTTCCTGGTCTCTTCCTGTTCAACAGGGGACGAACGTCAGAAAGTGCCATCAGCTCCTTCTGCATAAACTCGTATCTGTTTGCTGTTGCACGAGATTGCTAAGTCGTGGCAAAGAAGTTTGTAGAGCAGATTGGTTTTTAGGTTTAAATTTTGCATAGAGGTGGCGGAACCTACATTTCTGAATTCTTTTTTAGAAGGAAGTCCAAAAGCAGTTTAATCTACAAATACCTTGTCTTGAGGCTAATTAACGGACCGTAAGTACTTGATCTAAGAGTACGAGCATTTAAAAGGAGGTGGCTGTTGCAAAGACGGTTTGAAAATGAATGAAATCTCGTCTCATCCCTTTCGTGCATTGTTTACTCAAACTGTATAAGACTCCAACAACTGCACTCTCCTCAACAGGAAGTAGAATGAGACAAGGAAGTGTGTACAAAAATGATCAAATCAAGGGTACGAGAAATCTTCGACACTATGAAGAGGAGAACTTACCAACTCCTTTTGTTGAGATTTGAGACAAAGCCTCTCTTGTATAATTTTGGAAGCCTCCTTTTGCAGAGTTTCCTCCATTTGTTTAAGACGTTGTATTGTCAACTCTTCCTCTTGCTTTTTTGCTGCATGGTTTCTTTCTTGTTCTAGCGTTGCAGCTTGTTTGGAGTTTGAATTTTGAGTACTATTGCTCATTTCAAAGCCCGCTAATCGAAACAAGGAATCCTGGAACTGCTACATAGATGCATAGCAGCCGTGGACAAATGTTTAATCAGGAAATATTCTTGAGCTATATCAAAACTGACGTCCCATGTTAATAACTTCACTTCATTCAAAATAACATTACATGAATGCTTGCAAAGAAATACATAACTTACTATGCTTACTGTGTTCTCATGTTTCCCGTTCGTTCGAATGTCTCGCCTTTCTTGTTCTTCGTGCATTTTGAGGAAGTCTATAGTGCGTGCTTGAGAGTCTAGTGGGTAACACTTCAGGATATCTCTTTGCTCGGACGCATACGAATTGAGTTTTCTCTCCCTTTCTTGCAAAGACAATTCCATCTTTTCTACTTCCTCCTCTCTAACTCTGAGTTTGGCCTCCCTTTCTTCTATAGTTGCTGCGATAGCTTCTGCTATTCTACGCTTGTCCTCGACGTACTGCCTTTCTGAATCTAGCTCCGCACGAGCACCAGTCAATTGTTGCCTTAGTTCCTGAGCATCCCTCAGCACTTGGTTCTTGCCCTCTCGTTCTAGATGCTTCACAGATTCTTCTTTCTCCGCGACTCTCGCCTCTCGGATTTGAAGAGCTGCTTCCCGATCACGGAGCTTAGATAGCATTTCAGTCTTCTGCCTGTCGAGTTCTTCACGAAGTCTTGCTTTCCTTTGTGAATCTTTCCTCGCTTGGCGATCCTGTTCAGCTTTCCAGTTTTGTGATTCCTCTTTCTGTACCGCTACAGATTGCCTTTCGGACTCAAATGCTGCTTTCTCTTCTCTCAGCTTCTCCCATCCTATAAATCGGGGTACGCATGTTACGACAACACAAGCACGTGTGCTACATGATTATTTTTTACAATACAAGTTTCAGTGTTATGAAGAGGAAACGTTTTTGCCAATAAAGAGTACGACATTCTTGAATCAATAACTGCCTCCCTTCGTATTTTAAGCGCTGAAAGCTGTGACCGAACTTGTACACAGGTCCCATCCAATTGAACACAATAACTTTCTTTACCTTGGTCGACATCTTGTGCCTTCTGTAGACGTTCTTGCACCTGCTGCTCTAACTTTGTAATGGCCTGACTGTGTTCCTCAAGACTTAGGGCTTTATTCTTTAGCTCCGCCTCATAAGCTGCTAGTTCTTTTTCTCTTGCAAAAATATACTCCTTCTTCTCTTCTACCAAAAGCTCTTCTCGTGATCTGTTCCGTGAGCTCTCTTCAGCTGCAGCTGTCTCATCCTTCAAGGTCGCAGCATGTTGCTCGACTTCAGCAATCATTTTCTCCAAATCTTTTCTCTCATTCGCTAGCCTTGCTTCCAATTCCTGTTAACAAACATTGGATGCACTAATGAGTTTCAGACCTGTGTCAATGCGCGACCATAGCAAACAAGTTACTGTGACAGATTAGAAGCCAACCTTCAGATCATGCTCACTGTCTATAACTGCTTGTTCCCGATATCTGAGGTTCCTTTCCTTCGCAGAGGTATCCGCATTCAATTTTCTGATGTCAGCCAAAGCAGATGTGACCTTCTCTTCCTGAAAACACAGCCATCATGTGTTTCAAACAGCTGTACACTCATTTGACATCATCCTTTGCATTTAGCTTAAAGCAGAACTGTGAAACTTTCTACGACTATATTGAAGGAAGTGCTCTGAATTCCAATCATATTTAGACCTAATTAGAGCCCGCAATATCTTTTTCAAGCTTTATTACAAAAGGACAGACATTTGCAGCTACAAAGTTCACACCTGAATGCTCAGGGCACTTGCTCTCTCCCTGACGGCTTCCTGCTCCTTAGAAAGAGTTTTGGCTAAAGCCTCTAGCTTAGTCTTTGAGGATTCAACTCTGCTTCTCTGCACTTCTAGCTTTGAAGATGCCTGATCAAGCTCGGCAACACGATCAATAATTTGCGCTCCTGCTTGTTCTATATCTAGCTGAAGTTTCTTCTGCATCCACAAAGAAGTACGAAAACTCAGAAAAACCTGGGCAGATTGTGAAAACACACCGTGAGGTCAAATTGTCAAATTGCAAGCAAAATGATTCGAAATAGTAAGAATATATCCTTTTGGCAGATGCCGAAATCACTCTTGTATAGAAAGTCACAGCCTGGAACCCGCATCATCTGATCCATTGCATGGTGAGTGTGTCTCACATTTCTACAACGCTTTGATGAAGAGCACTTCAGAAAGTAGACACTCAAAAAAAAGCACAAAGAAAACAAACCAGTTCTTTTATCTGCAGCTGAAGCTCCTCCTTTCCCTTGACAAAACCGTCAATTTTATTCTGCAAGGTCTCTTCTGCTTCTCTTTGCCATATGTGCAATTCATCTCTCTTAATGTGCACTTCCTCAAACTCTCTTTCAACCTCCCGTCTTGCCACCTCGAGCTCCTCAAGTTGAGCACGGTGCTCTTTTCCGTGCTTACGAACCTGCACAGCGCTCATTGGTTACACTACTGGTCAGTAGCGTAGTTACATCAACGAAAAAGACTGACGAGTCACTGCCTCACAAACATATGTAACTAGGAGAAACATGCGTAACCTTCTATCTTCATTTAAAAGCATACCATTTGCAGGTGTTCATCATGCTTTGCTTGCAACTCCCGCTCTGCGCTCCAGACCCGTGCCTCTATCTCTGCAAACCGCTTGATTTCATCGATTGCAAGCCTCCTCTCTTCGGTCAGCTTATCCAAATCACTTTTAATTTCAGCTTCTTTGTTCTCTAAGATCTTGGTCCTCTTGGCAAGACTGTCCTGCTTTGCTTTAAGGTCCTCATTCCAGTTTTCTTGTTCATTTGTAATCTTCGCATGCATAGCTCGAGATCGATCCTGCTCTTCTTGTATTCGGCTCTCGATATCCCTTAATGATAACTGCTGCTGTTGCAGTTCTTTTTCTTTGACCCGTAGCCTATCTTCCCATGCTTTAATTCTCTCTTCAACTGACTTCAGGTAATCGTCAGCTTCTCTCCGCTCCTTTGCAACGCGTGCCCATGCTTCATCAGCATTCTTTTTTGATGCTTGTGCTTCTTCGATAGCATCTTCAGCCTCTTTAACTCTCTTCTTCTCTTTTTCCAGATCTGCTATAAGCTCCTTTGCCTTAGAACGTTCATGCTCACATTGGTCATGCATCGACTTCAGGATCTTTTCTCTTTCATGCAGCTGGTTCGAAAGACTCTCCGCAGCCGCTGCCTTCTCTGCCAGCTCTTTCTCAATATCTCTTAAAGTCATCTCTCTCATGTTCAGTTGTTCTTCCAACTCTCTCTGCGCCGCCTGTGTGCTTTCTCTCTTCTTCTCTTCCACGACTCGCTCCCTCTCAAACATCTCCTTCTGCTCCTCGAACTCTTCCTTCAGCTTGTTGACAAACTGAAGCTGTGAATCAACATCTCTTTCACGAGACGCTACTTGCCGTAGTCTATCTTGCACCTTCATTCGCTCTTTGTTTACGAGTTCTTGATCTTCATGAAGCCTCTGGGACGTAGCCCAAATCTCCTCTTGCAAAGCCGAAATTTCAAGAGCCTTTCCGTCAATGGATGATTCATGCACAAACAGGTCTGCGGCTTTTTTTTGGACTTCTGCCAAAGAAGAGGCTGCTTCTCGTTCGCAAGCAGTAACTGCCTGCACATTTGAAATAGCCTCGAAAGCACGTGTAAGGCCACAATAACCCTCTCACAGACTTTAATCGTTATAGGTCCTGACTGTCTTTTGTTGCAGAACAGTAAACTCTAACTCAGATTTATCATTATTGGATTCGTCAGTGACCAAATGTGTTCGAGGAATCTGTGCAGACTAGCTCGTAAAAGATGGTTTGTGTACCTTTCGACGCTCCTGAAGGTGAGTAACCCACTGAACAAGACTGTCTCTTTCTTTATTCAAAGTCGTGCGTTCTTCCTCAGCTACGCGAGATTGCTCTTCTGCGCATCTCATCATTTCAGCAGCTCTTTCAAAATGTTCGGCAGTGGCGTCCTTGGTATTCAAAATTTCTTCCTCAAGGGTCTTCAGTCGAGCTGATTCTTTTTCCAGAATAAGTGCCCACTTTTGCAGGTGAGTTTCATGGGATAAAAAACTTAGAAGTCGCTCGCACACACTTACTACAATCCTGCACCAGTCCTTGCAGTCGTTTTCAGCAGCCAGGAAATTCATCCCTTCAAGACCGTTCGCATGAAGTAAGGGCCTGGACTGATCTGGCTCAAATCCAAATTGATGATTCCCCACATCTAATTCTGGCCTGCTTGAAGAAGACTGCTTGAACTCATTCCATAGATCACGCAGGCCTTTATCTTTCTGCTCCATCTCTACAAGAACATCTTTCAAAGCTGTCACCAGCTTCTCTATAACTAATGAACCAGTTTCTACAGATTCACGAGCGCTTTCTAGATCACGTATCTGTATCACCGCCATTGAATCAGTGATGACATGTTAGAGCTGAATGTTATACACTCGTAGCGAATATATCCATCTTGAACAAAGGGAAAATTGTTCACATTCTGCAGAAGGATGAGAATGCAAGCATTTGAACGAAGGGAGAGTGCACGTTGTCTCATGTGCTATGAAACTAATTAATGGATGTTTAGCTCGAATTACGGTAAATCCTTTGAATCCTAAATTGCACTTAAAGAAAGATACTTGCAGTTATGAACCTGTTCTAGCTGCTGTACTGCCTCCTCGCGTTGAGACAACACAGCTTCACATTTTGAAAGAGCTAGCCTCGCTTCGGCGAGCTTCTGTTGCTCTTCAAGCAACGTCTCCTCTGCAGATCTAAGCTTCGATTCTCTTTTTGAAAGCTTCAACTCCCATTCCACCTGAAGGTAAAAGTGTACTCAGTCCCTGATCTGAAGGTGTGATAGGATAAAGCTACTCATCTTATGTCAATATTTATAAATTAAAGTCAGTCTTGTACATTGTGTATATTTACATCACACCTAAAGGAATCTTTAGCTTCGACTACATTCATGAAGGTAAAAACATTACATGTAAATTTTCTGATACCACTCACATATATGGGACTGAAGGTCCTTTCAGTATTCGGTTTTACCTTTATTTCGTCAGCATTAAGAGATAACTGCCTTAAGGGTATAACATGTATATATAGTCTCCGGTACCTTATTGACTGTGTGATCTAATTTCTTTTGCATCAAAGCACATATCTCCGTTCGATCTTTCCAATCGACTTGAGTATCTGGCCTAGATGTCTTTACAAAACTCATGGCATCTGGAACTTTCAAATTTGGTATGGACCTCTTCTCCTCCGGTATGGTCTGCATTATCCAAATCCAAGTAAGTAACACAAAGACATCATTGAGCTGAAGGAGAAGAAACTGAAAAGTGTAGATGGGGTGACAAGGAAACATCAACAACAAACATTGAAGGATGAGAGATGAACAATAGGGATTTGCAATAACCCACACACACAACTCTAATCTTGAGAGTGACGAATGTGACGAAAACCTAAGATATATAAGATGACCAAAAGAATCAGCAAAATACGAGCTCAGTTATATACGCTATCTTCATTGAGCTGGACTGAGTTCTTCTTAGATATAAAAGCAAATAGTACCTAGATTAACTCGTTTTCGGTATGTATCCAGAGATAAAAATTTCTAACCTGACTGGCGATTCTGGTCGTATTGTCAGCTCCTTCTGATGGAAGAAGTCGAAACTCACCAGGAGCATGCCATGGTTGATGTCTGGCAATATTATCAATAAATACTTCATCAATTTTACACATTCATTAGAACAAACGGAAACAAATAAAGGCAGTTTTAATTCAAATCAAATAGCAGAAACGTTTTGAAAAAAGTTCCTGTTCTAAAGAACTGAAGAGTTGCAATGTGAAGATTATCAATGACCTTGCTTGTTTGCCCCTGAAATCAAATCGGTGTTCCATCGTAGAACTATCAGACTGCAAATCCGTTTCTCGCGCAGAAGACGCACTAGGTGTAACCGGCGGAGGAGACCTTGAGGATTGAGCAACTTCAGTTGATCGTATCTCCTCTGTCATACGAGACATATGCAGACTTGGAGGCCCTTTCCCAGATGAATAGCTAGCAGGATCGGGTGCAGCTTGTTTAGTGTCTTTGTAAATTCCAGGAGATCTTAAAGGAGAAGACCACAGCTTGCCTGTATACTCGCCGATAGGCAATTTCGAGTGGCATGTATAATCCAAACTACGCTGATGAGAACGTATAGATGGAGAGTGTATATTGTGTCTATCACTATTGGTAGCTGAACCAGGGGAAGAAGAAGACGATGGTTTTGACAGAGAATCACAATTCAGGCTTGATGAATAGGAACTGGTTTTATCTGGAGAAGACGAAGAGGGCACAGATGTATGGATGCCTTGATAATACGACACCTCAGTAGAACCAAGAACTTTCTTAGGGGAAAAGGCTGTATGTTTAGAAGACAATGAGCTACTAGGAGAGCTAGAGCTTGTAGTTTGTCCGGCTCCCGGCGCAGCCTGTTCTAATTTTTTCTCCTTTTTAAAAGACCAATGATTTTCAGAGCTTGAAAGCATTGGCTGTTTAATCCTTGGAGACGGTAATTTTTCTGGGCTCAAAGTTGATACAAGAGAAAGGGAATCTCTAGCAGGGACTAATGGTGCTCTTGGTGAACTTGCAGCTGACTTCTTTAAGGGTTTGTGTGTGGTGAACAAAGGATTCGAGTAAGAAAACGCTGTAGATGGAACAATGTGATCTTGCAACTGACTGTTCAAGACGCCCCCACCCATGGGCCGTGATGAGTCTTGAATTTCCCACTTCGCAGATGTCTTCTGAAAGTGTAGCCACTGCAAAATGATCAGGTACCAGATTATGGAGACTTCAAGAGAATCCGAGAACATGTCCAGAGAAGGACATTTTCAGTAGTTAGGAAAATTTTTCACAGATTGGAAATTTTAATACGAAACTTTGTTTCTGGCATGATATTTGCATGATGGCCACATACGGTTCATGAGAACTGATGGAAACAAAAACATTCGTGATAGCTGCATGCTGAACAGGACGTCGAAACAAGGTGCGTATAAACATCAAATACGACTCTGCCCAATCAAGGTAGAAATATACCTGACTTTCAAGCTGCTCAAACCGTCTTGCAATATCCCGAGCCACGGACAAATCCTCGACAACATCGAACACCGCGTTGTGGCTACCCAGAGGCCTCTCTGCATACTCCCCCATGATCTTAGAAGAGCATGGGGGAGTATGCAGCGATGGGGAAAAGCCTTCTGCAAAGAACTGATGAACGTGAACTGAAATTGAATTCCGGCATCGCCGACTCTCATCTCTCGTACTCGATCATACTTGCTCAAGACTGAGATCTAGACATATAAAACCACAGTCAATTTCGGATTTTGGAGATACGTCCTATGAAGACATCTTTCAAGCGGGATGAGTACAATTCCATTCCAGCTCTTGCTCGCCTCTCACGAACTCCGATTGGAGCCATGGGGCTTGCGTCAAAAATGTTAGAAATACGAGCCAAAATCAAGAGTCTTGGAGGTGACCAAGCTCTGTGTGTCAAACTCCAGAAAAAAAACGGGACAAAGACAAATTGTAAAAGAAGACTGCTCGGGCTTTCTTGGACGAGCAATTCCTCGAAGAATACGTCGGGGCTCGTCCTCGAGCTCTGTCTACCGCAGCAGCGTCACAGGTTCAGCTTCTTGCAAAGCTCCACAGAGCCGATCGAGAACCGGAGGTCCAAGCGTGGCGGGAGCCAACGTCATTGGGCTCTATCGGTGGCACCCATACTACTTTTGCTCTCGGTTAATAAGGTTCCTCCACCTGTACACCGGCAGTTACGGGACTCGTCGACTCGTCTCTCGCAACGGTATTCAGTCTGCATGGGCCCTTCCACGTCCTTCTGGGTATCCTTCTTGGCCTCGTCTGTACTGTTTTGACATGCCTCATCAGACACAACTCCACGTGAGATCGGGAGCGTACAAAGGCTCCAATTGCGACAGCAGAGCCCAATAGAGACCTTCTTGTTTAAATCCCTCTTCGCTTGCGTTCGATTCGTCAAATATTGACACTCGCCTCCTTGTATCGAGGAAATCTGGATGCAACATACATAGCATTATCCGAGACCCCAAGAAAACCATTAAAAAAATTTTAAATAACATGAATGTCAGGGATATCATACTGTTAAATACTTTTTTTTAAAAGCGTAAATGATCTTTTTTCAGAATAGCTAAATTGCTTATTTTCAACAATAAGCAATGTAGGTTTAGTGATCAAATCTAATAAATCAACCTATCTCTGTTAAAATGTTTAAAAAGTTTCAGTCATATTTTTCTATGCGGCAGACATCAATGCATCCGACATAAATTGTTTTAGTAATTAACTACAATCATATATAAATATGGTATACATCAAAGATTAACTTTGATAACAAAGGTCCATAATTATTTTAAAAAAATCTATTGTTTGTCAAACGAAGATACTTTTTTACCTGTTAGGTCACCTCTCCTTCTTGAATAATCTTCAGAAAACCTAAACTCCAAACCCTAGTAATCGATAATTATATACATCTATGTGATTGATTTATGTACAAATCAACAGATTCATTCATTCGATGCACAAGGTAATCGATTCAACTTGACATGCTTGAATAATACGTGAATTTAAAAGAATCAATCTAGTTCACATTTTGAGAATAATTTTCACCTTAATGAAATAAATGAGACACAATATCACAAGTTTAAGTATAGAAAGTAAAAAATGATGTGGCGGGTTTCATTCATGAGAAGTTTACTGGTAGTTTGTATCTAATTTCCATAAAAATTTCCAAAAATCCCTGTTTCTTGGTTGAGACACAATCACATAACAATATATAAACAATCTCTCGACCCCAAATTATTGCAAAACCAAGATACCACGCAGGTTGCTAATCCAATTGGTTCCAATTTCATGAAGAACTTACTCAACAAAGTCATTCTTTACTTTATTACCCATATCGACAGCTTTGATTCCATAAAGGGTCCGACTCTGCACATAATTCTGGCTCTGAAACATTTCACACTTGACAGTGATACTGTTTCTCTATACAGCTGTCTCTCCGTCTACGGTTCTATACTACCGTAGTGGTCGCCTGGTCCTCTTTCGAAGTGGAGCTTAAAAAATAAAAAATCTTCACAGCGCTCAGCGAACTATCGGCTGCATCTGAATTTGGCGAAAGCGTAGCGATATTGCTTCTGGAAGTAATTTCGAAAGGAATCCCGTTTCATTGAGGGATGAGTGACAGGCGACGATCCTTTGAGCACAAAATGCCTGCCGTCGAAGAAATCTGTGGAGTATTCAGGATACTCTGGCATGGGCTCGAATCCCGGAAATCCTTGGAATGGCGTGCTCGTCCACTCGTATCCACCGACTCTCATTTGCTGGACCAGCTCTGCAGCAGGATCCACATCCAGCACCCGTTGATACTCTGCTTCCGAGAATACTCTGCATCCCAACCACTTGCAGAAAGCTTCCGCCTCGGAAAGACTGACAAACACCGGGTGATTTGCGACCCTGGACCAGTGATTGGTGGATTGATACTCGTGTACGAAAAATTCCTTCTCCACGAGAGACCACGACGCTGGATACTTGTAGCCATTCTCCTGGAAGTGAACAAAGTCTTCAGCATCCCATAGTTTCTCGTTCTCGTACCCTCCTTCTTTGACAAACCTGTGAAATTCCCCGATGGAAACGGGTCTGCTACTGACCCAAAAAGTGCTCGACGTACTGGTGCTATATTGAGGGTACTCATTGTCCCACAGGAATCCAGTTTCTTTCGGATAGGATCCCAGAACCACCGGACCCGCTTCGATGGTTACCATTTTGGATTTGGCCAAAGCGTTGATGATGGACATGGTAGAAGGGGGTTCGATCGAGCTGATATGAATGGGCGGCAGCTGTGAAGCAGTCACAACCGACACGGCCTTCTCGAAGGCAGCTTTCCTCTCCTGCGTCATCATGTAGGCCAGCGTTTCCTGGTGCATCCGCTCGTGCTCCATGACAAAGGTGATGAGCTTATGGTTCCCTTTGAACTGTCCTGCGTGAAGAGCATTCAAAATCTTCTTTCTCGTGGCACTGGCATAGGCGACGATTTGATCTCGGGAAGGCCACTCAGCTGGGGTTTTGGGATGATTATGGCATTGAGAAGTGTCGAGGATAAATGGGTCAATCCCTCTTGAAAACATGATGTCCATGTCTTGAGCAGGCTCGTCCGCGAATATTTTTAGCTTTGCGAAAGCAGGGAGGTGACCACTGCATACGCATTGTCACATACCACGCCCAGCCTTGTCAGACTTTGATCCTCACTGTGACAAGCACATTTCACCAAAATGCATAACAAACCACGAAACTGCTCGTTTCTTACAGTCAGCGTGTGAACTTTTGTCTCTCTCGGTCCCAAGTCTCGTACTCCATATAAATGATCTACAACTGTTTCCGATGGAACTGTACTCAATGAAGAGAAGGAGCTTTGGTGGAATAGATGTGGATGCTAACATTCGTAGGAGGAGCAGAGTTTTCTTAAAAATAATTTAGATGAAAAGGATGAAGTCGGACGAAAGACAAGAATGCTGGTCAGACCAGATCTACCCACACTTGCTGGTCTCAAATGTCTAAGATGCTTCAAGTTCTGTTACAAGATACGACGAAGAATTTCGGGTCTGGAAAAACTACTCTGCGAACTTTGGAGAATATTTCGAAGCTCATAGTAAGAATCCCATAGTATTCCAATCAGAATTGGTCATAGAAACTGAGAACTTACTAGTAGAAGCAGAATGGATGTCGGGTATCGATGGGTTTCGAACTCCAATCCGGTATACCCTCGAACAAAACGTCGGTATCCTGCCAGCACTGAGTGATGGCTTCATATTCATCCAGCAGCATTTGACAGCCGTAGATCTGGTTGTGCCATGCCGACTGTAGATGGAACCCTGCATTTTCAGTCATCTTATGGATAGACTCACGAGTAAATTTCCTCGAGATCTCCATCAACACTCTCTCTCCCGGTCTGCCACAGTTCCATGACGACAGCACGAAAACATTTAATCGACAGGTGAACCAGTGCGAGCTACCCTGTAAACACCTATTGGATTCCACGTTTCACAACCAATTTTCTCGACACAGAATCCTATGTTTGCATGAACTGGTCCAAGAGACAGGGACAAGACAACGAAGTACTTACAGGCGAGCCATATGATCAGAATGTGCTCACCTTATGTGGATTCCATGCTTAGGGACTGCAAAGCCTTGGGGAAACCTGAGATACATCTCAACCTGCTTAAGTTGCTGGTTTATTTCCACTTCATAAACCGACGAAAGCTCTTCGGCTGTCGCCGGTTCATGGCCAAGAATACGAAGAGCATGACTCATACCATTTCTAATAAATGCTTCTGTGACGCCTTGCTTGTCATGATAAGCACTCCGCAGGATTTCGTCCTTCTTCCACATGTCTGCAAACGAAAAAGTAAAAAACATCTCAGTAACGGTCGGGGGGACAGAAGATGTCGCAGATGTGGATCATGCGTTGACACTCATCCGTTGACGAGAGCATCACGCCAGCAACTTGACATCACCAACTGCCTCCTGTCCACCTCGTCTTGCAAGCTTTTTAGTGGACTCACATGCTAAATCACAGCTTACCGGTACAGAGAAAGAGCCGACAGCGTGATTTCACGGCATTCGAAACATCCTCAAAGAAATAAATTGCATCTTTCTGCGAAAAATTGCCCACTCCACTGCCCAGCCAGACGACACACAGCGAATCATTCGGATACTTGGCTCTAACTTGTCTCAGGCCTTCGATGTAATCAGCAGACACAAGATCTACCGTCAGATGGCCCTCCACTAAGAGCATCAGGTTACAGCGTGCTTCGTCCAGGAAAGACTCGGAAACATCAATTCCTACGAACCGGCATCTGCAAAAAGTCACAGGACAATGTGAATGCTGTCAGTCTTCACCACAATTCACCTCTCTCGACATGCAGAAATTTCAAGCAGAGCTCGTGCGAGGCATGTTGTCCTCCTTACCTCCCATGGCGAGCCACCAGAGCATTGAGAAGATGGGCTGTCTTAAGCGCAGACCCGCAACCGAGCTCCACGACTAAACTCCCATCGGGAATATGGTTTGTGATATCTTCCACAAATTGATCCAGCAGATCAATTTCCGCCCTAAAAGGATAGTACTCCTCGAGTTTGGTGATGGACTCGTACAACTCAGATCCCCTGTCATCGTAGAGAAAACGATATGGGACCTCTTTGCGAGACTTTCTGCTCAAGCCTTCCACGATGATCTCTTGCAACACTCTATCGTTATCGTCAGGGTCAGTTTTACCATTCACACTTGGTGACTGCTCATTATGGGTGCTGATCACGCCATTCTTCCCGACATACTTCGACTGCAACTGAGATTTCAAATCAGCTATAGATTCCTTTAGCTCGTCTGAAGGTCGTCTATAGACATACGGCGTGGGAACTTGTGCGTCCCAAACAGGCGGCATCCTAATGTCTGCTTTCTGATGAGATCTCCAGAAAAACAACCAGCGCCAGGGAAGTTTGATGGTAAAGTTTTTTTTTCAGCTGAAGCAATCTCTGCACAACTATCGAGCTCTAAGATACGACACGTATTCGGAACCGTCGGGAGTTATATCGAAATCGATTTACAGATTGTATCGATGTCGACTGTCTATCTATCTCTGTTACAGCTCCCAACTTTTAGTCGGTTTGAAACCTGAGAATGTATTCTTCTTGCATGAAAGGATATTCTAAAGTGCACGAATACTAATGAGGATATGCAAGGAATATGTACAGCATGTTGAGAATTTGGGCAGATGATGTAAATGTCCAAATTTTGATCCAGAAAAATCCTTTCAACTCACATCTACAAAGCTCAGCAATAACTAGTGTCAGCAGAAGTATACATGCAGCTTGCAGCGACGAAGTGCTCACTCAAGTACACATGCACACACACGAGATGTCCGCACGGTTAGTCAGTTTTCAGCAACCGGAATTTGATGAGACTTAAGAGGGAGCACTTGTCACTAAGACAAAAGGTCGGGGTCTCAGTATCCATACAGTGGCTGCCACTTCCTTCTTCACGTGGCTTCACGACCAATTCTGATGGCAAGGCTGGGGACAAGTTCAGCGGTTTAACATGTTGGCGAGTTTCGAATGTCCGACTTTTGTTCGTGGTTGGTGAGTGGCTCTACGGCACAGACAGGTTCGACGAGCTGCACTAGCTCCCATGAACTCAAAACTACCTCACCGGAATCACACCTGCACTTTCCGAGTTTATTGTCTGGATGACGCACAAGCTTACAGATCTACCTTCAACCTTTGCATGTATCGACACTGGGCATGGATCTGTGGAATCGTCCTCGGATGCCTTGCACTTTTATTGCCACACAAGGCGAGTGATGATAGGCCGATCGTAGCTAAATTTGCCAGACTGAATACTTTTCATGGAGTGCTACTTGAATCCAAAGTCTAGCTTGAGACCTCAAGTCCTCCTTACAGTGTACAACTCCTTTCTACGGCTGGATAAGGTCTTCACGTCCATTTTGTTATACACTTGGCACCCGTACTTTAAAGTGTCGACTCCGTGGAGCTCGACTGGTCCAGTGGAAAGCGCACGACCTGTTAGAGTTACATGATTGGGTGTAACTTATACCCTTTCATGTCATTTTTACCTTATAAGTTAGACTGAAGTTATAAACCGTTGTGCGAATCTGTTTCCAACCTAGTATGTCTTGAAAAACTTCGAAATGCGCGTAAGAAGATGGATCTTCTAATCGAGTTAAGTCTGGAGTTTTACTAGAGAAGATGGTAAGATCACATTGTGTAGGGAACGATGGAAAGGCATTTATTAAGATATATATTAAACAATTCAGATGCGGTGAGTCCGAGTCGATTATGAAATTACCTTTGTTAATTCACGATGGAATATCTTGCACTGTGGCAAATTTATAGCGCAAAGGATAGAGTTCAAATCACGTACAATAGTTTCAATATTGAAAGTCTATTCGATACTTTTGTGAAGTTTTTGATAATATGTTAGCATACTTCACAATCACATTTTCACAAATCGTAATTTGAATTTTATTGCAAATTTTAGTTAGTTTATGTTAATCTAGTTATTGTAATGTTTGATGTAAACATTGAAAAAATCATGTATTAAATTAGCATGTGAAAATTAATACTCTGTGAAAAGATTTTACGTCAATTTATTAAAAAAACTTATGAAATATATTACTTAAAAGCACATATCCAAAGAATCTTGATAATAATATAATCTGAATTTGGATATAAAATATGATAAATCTATCAATAAATATAAATAATGAACATGATTTCGAATATAATTGCTAAAAATAATAACCTCAAAACAATACATGATATCAATGTTCACAAAACAAGGTGAAAACTAAAATTCACATCATATTAAATTCGTCAAAATTATTCATATGTATATAAACATTTTCAGTAATATTGCCTTAACACAAATTATTTGAGGTTTTCATGCCAATGAATGAACATTAACAACACAGTAATGACTAGCAATCATAATGATATTGATTAATCAATGTAATCGAGTTGTCTTGTATCTGATTATTGAATATCTTAGATCTTGAATGTGTGATATCTCAATTGTATCAAATATAATTCAAATTTTTTTTGCCATAATAAACTGATGATAAATTGAATGACAAGATTATTCAATGTATCGTCCACCACATACTAGCTATGTTAATAAAAAAAATGCTTAGTTTTCATTAATGTACAATTTTTTATATATCTTGTACTTCATACTATTTTGTATAAATTTCTTGATATAAAAGAAAATTTTTATACATGGTAACCAAAATATTCACATATTTTACTCAAAACTTGAATTTTTCCCAAAGTAGAATTAAAATTTTCCAAGTACTTTAGTCTCATTTCATAATAGTTTTTGTACAGCTAGATTGATTCTAATAAGTCATTTTTGTCAATAATTTCAGAATTATCAGTTCAATATTGCAACAACGATAACTTAAAATTTTTATAAATTTTTGTGTAAATTTCAATAAATTTTTTCATATTTATTTCAATAATTAAATAAGATAAATTATTTTTAATTTTATTAATATTATCTAAAATGATAATTTCATATTTTACCTTAAACACTTCGATTAATGTTTATGGTTATAAATTTTATTTTAATAAAAATAAGTAAGATATAAAATTAAATTAAAAAATTCATCATGATTTCAATATTTAACAATAAATTGCATTAGTATTTCAAAAAAATATTTCAAAAAATATATATAATATATAATTAATATTGAAAAAAAGTATATCAAAATATCTAAATCAAATCAGAATGGATATCATCAAATCTTAAGTCATGTTACAAAAAATTCTAATTTTTATAAAAACTTTGACTTAAAATCATTTTTTGCAATAGATTTATCAAAATGATTCATTAATCATACGATGATAGTGAAAAATTTACATTAAAATGACAAACAATGAACATAATATTTCAGAAAGATCTTTTAGTATTTTATAATATCTGCTTATTTGATATAATAACTTTTTCAGTTGACAATTTAGTTTACTTTGTTGATACAAACTTAAATTTTGGTTTATTTTGTATACATTTAGAATTGATTTAAATAATGAAATGCATCACATTATCTCTTAAAATATAAATATTATCTTTAATCATAAATTTCATTTAATCATATTATCATGAGTTTTTAAAGCTATGATTAATGTCATTTATTTTATACCTATACATACCTCAATTGTTTCAAAAACTTACACAAAATGTATGAGTTGAAAAAAATATCGAGTTGAAATATTAATTTTATTGATTTTATTTTTTTTTAATATTCAACATGAACATGTTTATACACTAAAATTAATTGCATTTCAAAAACTATTTTGAAATTTATTTTATTCGATAATTTTAAGTGTTTGATAGTTTAATTATACATTTTTATCATCACTTATGATTCACATCAAATCTTTAAAAATCAAGTGATCATTAAAAATATAATTTAATTTTAGATTATGATAAATATAATTATAATTATAATCTAAAAAATCAAATTTACATAATCCAAGCATGAATGGGATATTGATTATAATTTTAAATCAAATTAAATCAAAAACGTGTAATAATTTATCAATTATTTTTTTATATTTGTCAAATCATGACTACATCATATGAGCATAAATGATGCTTTGAACTGTAGATGTACATAATGGCCATATAGAGAAATGCAAATATGGAAAAAACAAATAAAAAATCTTGTAGTGAGATTCAAATGCTTATGAGACTGGTTCATGAGATTTGTTGTGAGATTTCACAAGATGACAAACACAAGCTTATACAAACACACATGACGTCAATACAAGATTAAATGATTTGCTATTGTCAAATTACGTCCAAAGATATTAGAAGCTTTTACTACAGTTAAATTTAAAATGTGTGATGAGAGTTTTGGACATTTAAATTTTATTTTGAACAACAATACCTAATACTTATTATCATTAAGCTATTTGAATGTAATTCAAATCTTAATTAATACCTACAATATACTCCTTAATTCATGTTGTGGATACAGTAATTTCTATAATTGATAGAATAATTATGTTAAATTTTTTTACCAAAACATAACATAAATTTTCTTTCAACTAAAGCTAATTAGATCTAAACTATAATCTAAACTATGATAGAGTACAAATATATAAAGGTAACAAAAATTGCTAGTAAACTCTATATGTGCTACTCATACAAAATCTACAAATTAGCATAATGTTACATAAAACTCTTTAAACTTTGATCAACACATCAATTAAATTTCTATTAACATTAACAATCTCAAATTTTTTCTCAAAAATTTTATCTTTGATAAATTGATATCTGATGATGATGTGTTTTAGTGTATTGATCATCATGTAATTTGCAGCAAGATGTAACACTATCTATTATTTCAAATGAAGATTGTCAACCTTTTGTTTTAATGATATCTAAGTAATAAACCTATTCAATTGAATAACTTTCTTTCTTGCTTTTAGTATTGCAAAAAAAATGATCTTTATTATGGATTGAGTTATGCACTTTAGCCGAAAAAATAATTCTTTAGATTTCTTTGTTTCAGTTATCATTTTGTCTAAATTTTGTCCATACTCAGCATCAATGTAGCCTAACAAAAATTTGACATTATCTAATAAGACTTAAAAATAAATAACATAATCCTAAACCCTAAGATTCTAATTTTATGTCAAATCAATAAAATGTCAAATAAATAAAAACTTGAACCTTAAATGCAGACTTCAATTAATTCTTCCATTAGTCAATGTTAGTTTGATTCTTCATCAAAATAAAGATTTTTTATTCACGTGAAATACTAGAATAATGAGATTGAAGATATTATTATTTTATTTTTTAATATATACACACGGATCATATTCACTTCATGAAGATTATTTTTGCTTTTATGAACGTATCAAATCTTGCATTTCACAAGCCAAGAGCTTGTTCCCATCCATACAATGATTTCAACAATTTAGATATAAAAAAAAATTACAAAGTCAATGGGATGTTTCATGTAAATTTTTTTTCTTGAGATATAGTGAAAAAAATGATATAACTACATACATTTAATTCATAACCAGATTATATATTGCAACAAGTGCATATATCAATCAAAGTTCATTAGACTTTGTTACAAGTGAAAAAATTTCATTGTAATACATGTTTTTTTCTTGTGTGAAAACTTCAGTGAGCAATGTGGCTTTCAATATATTTTTCTTGTCATTTGTTAGATCTTTTTTTTTCCTTATACATTCACCTGCTATCAATCAAAATTTGATTCCTTGGAAACTTCACTCACAAGTCTTGTTATCAATTAGCAATTGCATATCATACTCTATAGCACTCAAACTTATTGACAATGGATTGAGCTTTTTTATAATGTGAAGATTCTTTTACTTTCAAAATCAATGCAATCACATGATCATCCTCAATCTCAATATCATAATCTTAAAGATTGAATGAGTTTAT